GCAGCTTGGTTTAATCCTCTCCAAGATGGATCTGTTTGTTTTCCTGGCAGTCCATGGTACATTCAGTACTCTTCTCCAGCACCACAGCTCAAAGGCGTCAGTTCTCCTTCTATCCTCCCTAGTCATTGTCCAACTCTCTGAGGCATAACAAGCGATTGCAAACACCATGGCCTGTATCAGGCGCACATTAGTCTCCAGAGAGACACCGTTGCTCTTGAGTACTTTAGAGAGGTCATTAATAGCAGACCTTCCCATCACAATAAGTTTTTTTATTTCCTGGCTGCTGGTGCCAAGAGTGTTGACCGTGGAGCCGAGCAAACTGAAGCTGTGAACAATCTCAACCTCTTCGCCACCCATCCTGATGCTACCGATTGGTCCAGTGGTGAGAATCTTTGTCTTCTTGACATTGAGCCTCAGTCCATACTTAGGACTTGTATCACTTTATGAGCTAAATAAAAAACTATGCCCACTGTCATCAAATTGATTCCAACTCCCTGTGACTCTCCATTAAGTTTCCAAGACTAATTTTAATCAAGAGAAAACTGTCCATCTTTCTACAGAAGAGCAGCTAGCGGTTTCAAACTACTGACTACAGATATCATTCAATAAAATATCAAAGGGATATTTTAGTTCAAAAGAGAGAGACAAAGAGCCTTAGCAATTAAAGCAATGTGTGACAGTAAGCATAGAGTAGGACTGGGCAGATTTTCATGGCGAGTCAGAGCCTTACCTCATGCCACTGAACAAAATTTAAAGCAGTCTGACTATAAAGAAGACCTAAAGGTAAACATGGAAATCTGAACATAAAGCATCAGATGGTATTAACTCATTGCTCTTGACTAGGAATCAACTCACAGCTGATCTTCCAGTGGTTTCCAGGTTGATATTGCTATTAACAACTGAGCATTTTATTAAATTTCATTTCTTGGCACAAAGTTTTATAGTTGTGATTTTATAAGGCATCCCAATCAATTGGCCCAATACTGATTTTCAAGCATCTGTTCCACCTCCTAGTTTACTGTGCAGTACCCAGGATATTAAGTTTGTGAGTGGTCATCTCAAGGTACAATTGGTCTCCACTTCTTCATAGCAGCAGAGGAAAGTGGATTGTCAGAAAGCAGGGAGAAAAACAATTACCTCCATGAATGAATGCCTCCTTTGTAAAGAAACCAGAAGAACTGTATATTGGTCAGCTATCATTATTAAATGATTTGACCAAAATTCTGTGCAAGACTCCTGATCAAAAGTAGGTGGGGTGTGAACAGAACTCCAAATTCCAACGGAAACCTGACTTTCTGGAATCCTTTAGATAAAAATCTATTGCCATCAAAAAACTGTTACACTTTAACCCTAAGTTATCTCCTTTAAGCCAAATAATGATTCTGTTATCAAATCAATTCTGCCATAACTACCTCAAGTACAAGAGAATGTCCAGTTCCGAGGTTTTTCCCAATCATTGCTGTTCACATCCAATGTTGCAGTCACTGCATAAATCATCTTGTTGAAGGTCCTCCCCTTTTCCATTGACCCTCTACCAAACATGTTCTCTAGACCAATCCTTTCTGATAACACGCCCAAAGTGTGAGACATTGTCTCACCATCCTTGCTTCTAAGAAGCATTTCTGGATACACTTCTTCCAAGACAGATCTGCATGTTCTTCTCATAGATTATTTTGTATTCAATACTCTTTGCAAACATCACTTTTCAAAGGCATCAATTCTTATTCCGTTTTCTTTATTCATCATACATATGACATGACTAAGAATATCAGAGTTAGGGTTGGCACAACTTAGTCCTCAAAGTGACATTTTTGCTATTTAACATTTTTAAAACATCTTTTGCAGCAAATTTACCCAATGCTGTAAATCCTCTGTCTTTCCTGACTGCTGTTTCCATGGATGTTGTTTGTGGAGCTAAGTAAAATGAAATTCTTGACACCTGAGTTTTTTTCTGGATATCATGTTTATTGGTCCAGCTGTAAGGATTTTTATGTTGAAGTGTAATTCATACTAAAGCATATAGTCTTTGAGCTTCATCAAGTCACTTTCAATAAGCAAGATTGTATTATATATGTAATGAAGGGTGTTTCTTCCTCTAGTCCTGATGTCACATTCTTTATACAGTCCAGCTTCTTGGATTATTTGCTTAACATGCAGAATGAATAGGTATGGTAGAAGGATCAACTCTGACATATACCTTTCTTAATTTCAAACTACACTGTATACTCCTATTTCAAATAATTGTCTCTTGATCAAGCACAGTTAAAGGTTTTGGAATTCCTACTCTTTGCAATGTTATCCATAATTTATTACAATCCACAATTAAATACCTTTGTGTAGCCAATAACATATTTTTCTGGTATTTTCTACTTTCAAACAAGGTCTATCTGCCACCAGCAATATCACTCCTGGCCCTATGACCATTTCTGAATTCTATTTGAATTGCTGGCAGGACTCTTGTAACTCATTTTTAAATTATCCTCACCAAGATTTTATTTGTTGAAATACTGATATTGTTTAATAAAATTGTATTCTGTTGGATCATCTTTCTTCAAAGGGCACAAATAAGGATTTCTTCGAATTGTTGGACAGATAGATTTCTTTCAAATTTCCTTTCATAGAAAAGGGAGCACTTCTAACACCGAGACAATTTCAGTTGGTAGTCTATCAACAGGTTCAAACTGTCTTCCTGTCAAACATTCTTCTAGGTGGTATAGCACTGGTCTGTGCATTGCTGTACAGAGGTAACTCGTGGTTGCTGTGATGCTGAAGCCTGTGACAGTGATGTGCCAATCGCGGTAATGGGCACCCATGGTGGACAGTGTTGGCTGGAGCTTCCCGACTAAATCAAGCCTGGAAGCAGGAGTGGCATCCACTTCCAAAATGGCTTGCTCTGGAAACTCTATGTACGAACAGTGCTCAGGCTGTTCGTTCATAGGGTCGCTATGAGTCGTCTACGACTTGATGGCATTAAACAACAACAACAACAGTCTATCAATTCCTAGGGGCTTATTTTTTGCCAATGTCTGAGTACAACTTAGACTTCTTTTTTCAGTACTACAGTTCTTGATTATACACTATATCATGAAATGGTTAAATATTAACCAATTCTTTTTGGTACAGTAATTTTGTATATTTTTCTTATCTTCTTTGGATGCTTCCTACATTATTCATTATTTTGCCCAATATTTTCCTTCACTATCACAACATGGGCTTGAACTTTTGGTTCAGTTCTTTTTACTTAGAAAATGTTAAATATGTTCTCTTTTATTTTTAGTGTAAATAATAAAGAATAATAACCTAAGTATGCTATTCTGTTGAAGAATTCTCTATGAGATCAAATAGATAAAACCAACTCGAAAGGTCAGATGACAAGTTTAGAGTCCAAAGATATTGTTATTGATGACAGTAGAATAATTTGAATAAGGGCATTGAAAAACGTAGCAACAACTTAAAACGTAAACAATGTCTAAAAATTGGTACATGTAGACATATTTTAATTGATAAATGTTTTGCTGTATATATTTTAACCAAAAGAAATGCAATAATCTACAAAATTTATCAACTTCTTATTAAATGCTATAGAAGCAATATATTCTAAAATGTACAACATAAGAATGTTTGCTGCTACCTGCATATAATTATTCTATTTTTCCTTTTTCCTGGATAATCTTTCCACCAATTTAGATTTCTAATTGGTTCATAGAGAGTAGTTTTGTCTTCTGTTTTTTAATCTGTCTCTTTTCTACTTTAATTTCTTCTCTTTCCTCACTAGCATTTATCCTACTCTACTAATAATGGATGCTACCTCTTCAGCTAGGCAGGGCTATTCCTGTTGCTAGTCCTTGGAGAACATGATACTGGGAAAGGTGTAGGGCTGGCGAAGGAGAGAAAGACCTTCAACGAGATGGACTGACACAGTGACTGCTGCAGTGAGTGGGCTCCTGTGTGTCAGGAAGTGTGAAAATGGCACAGGATAGAACAGAGTTTAGATCTTTTGTTCATAGGGTCACTATGAGTCATACTCGACTCGATGACACCTAACAACAACAGAAAGGAGCTCTAATAACCTAATGGCAAAGAATTTCAGTGCCAACCCGACAGCACATAATTCGAATCCACCAGCTACTTTGCAGGGAAAAGGTGGATAATCTCCTCCCAGGCTATTTAGAGCCTCTGAAACCTGTTGAAGTGTCAGATATGAGTTGGATTCGACTTGATAGCACTGAATAGCAACAATCCATTCCGAAACCTTGGGCTAAAGAAGTCAACGTTCTTGGAAATAGCTGAATCCGCAAAACTGAACTGCTATTACCTCAGTTTATATTTATACTATATTTATAAATAAACTTTTCTATCCTCAAACAATTATCTTAAACCTATCTAAAATATTCTAATCTAGCAAAAATGTTGATATACTAAAAATATGGCTGTACAGGATACAAGCTGAATTGACTGATACGGACTGTTTTCTCCTTCAGAAACAGGAGATTAATAAAGGCTAATCTAAAAAAAAAGGCTGTCTTTTGGCCAACTGTGTATGTGAAAATTCATTCTAGTTTCCCTACTCCCAATTTAAAGAGGGACATTTTTAATATTTTTATCTTAATAGAAACAAAGCTTTCACACACAATTATACAACACTTAAAATTAATTTGAATTTAAATGTATTTTTTTTAAATGAAGTTTGAGATGCAGGCAAGAATTCGCCACTCATTCCCACACAATTTTTAGGTGTCAACCCTGAAAGATAGCACTTGCTCTTAGATGATGAAACAGAATACTTACATTTCCAATCTTTTCCATGATTCAGTCACTATTGCTCCAACTAGAGGATTATGGGCCTCAACAGTAAACCTCAATAAAAGACAGAAAAAATTCTCCATAAGTAATTATACATTTTAAAAAAGTAATCATACATCACTGAAAACATTAAAAACACTTGTAGAAAGAGCTATAATGCAAAAGCAAATCTCTAGTCATTTTTCACTTAAATATTAAGTGTTTGCATCAGGATCATTGCTATTTCAATATTCTAATTTCCTAGTCCCCTTATTCTTTTATCTGCTAATTTCAGTTTTCTTTGCTGGTGATAATGAAAATGCTCAATAGCACACTTTATGCTCAAAATATACATATTTCTTACTTGCAGAAAGTTCTAAAATATAGAAGTAAAATTTTAGTAGAGAAATAAAAATAACTTATAGCCCTAATACTCATAAACAGTCATCAAGTCATTGTTAAGAATTTGGAGCTGACTCATAGCTGACAAGCAGGTTTTCAAAAGTTACAAATCACAGTAAGAGACTGTCCATCTTTCTCCCATACGTCACTGGTGGAGTTGATACACCAGAGAAAGGCCTGGGTTAACAGTGCAACTCCCTATGGACTATGGCATCACACATTGAATTTTTACCATTTTAGAGCCCTTTTTCCAATTCTTTAAATAACATCTATACAACATTGTGCTTTGCAATGATAATGACTGTTATTTGAACTGTTATTTTAATCACTCCTACCATAATAGGCCTTTATGAACACCGTAAGTTAAAACTGTCTCAATCTGGAAGTAACTCCAGGGTACAACACTGGCCAAAATAAAGTCGAAGCTGAAATAAAACAATGGAGGCACAGAGGTGCACTACTCACTTTATGATTTATTAAACCTGGATATCTTTGCTAGATTTTGAATATTTTTAAGTAAAAACAAACTTTGGCTTTAAAAAAAAAGATATATCTTTAAAACTATTAATTCAAAGGTATTTTTAAAGGTCTTGGTAATTATTGTGCCACCAATATATGAGATAATAATGGAGTTATTATAGGTATTAATTTTTTTCTTAATACTCAAATCTCTCCTTTGACATTTATCCATTATCACCAAATATATTGATTCATAGGGATCCTATAAGACAGAGTAGAACTGCTCCATGGGTTTCAAGGCTGTAAATCTTAATATGAGCAGATTGCTTCTTCTTTCTCCCAAGGAATGGCTAGAGGATTTGAACCACTGACCTTTTGGTTAGTAGACCCAATACCTAATTCACTCCACTATCAGGGCTCTTTTTGATACCAATACAACTTTCTTCATCACCACTTCCCACCCCCACTACATGTAGCACTTTTATTTTTGGTGGTTTGATTTTGTTTTTTCTTAAGTGAACTGTCATTTAATGTTTCAATAAGGTACACAGAGGTCCATCGTGCACTTAAGCATCCATCACCAGAGATCATATTATCTCTTGCAGGGATGGAGCGTCAGGGAAAGGAGCAGAGGTCAGGAGGGTTCTAGGGAGCGGAAGGCTATTTATTGGTAATTTTTCTGATAATTAATGTTTTTATTCAAGAAAGTTTTGAACCATATTTTAAATGTTATTTAGATGTAATGACTTTTAAGAGTCCATGGTATATAATTTGCCACATATTATTATCAAGTATAAATAAGTCTGCAAAATACTACCTCCTTTTCCTTTGCTTTTAAGAGCTACTGTTGACCATCATACCAATGGGAACCAAAAGATGACATTCTCTACTCTATTGATTGTATTTAGATACTAAATTAATATCAATTGTTACCAATTGTTACTTATTATATAATCAATTTTCCTTAGGTACCTACTAAAAGTTAATGTCTACTTTTTATAAAACTGTATGTAACACAAAAAAAATTTTTGTTAAAGGAATTTTTAGAAAATTAAAACATAAACATGACCATTTTCCTAAAATCTAAAAGCAAATTACTTACTGTTGCAAGACGTATAACACATTCACCAGTGTATCATTATTCATTAACTCTAGTTTATCTGTAGTTATATTACAAAGAGTAAGAAATTGGGGATGGCCTTTGACAAATTCAATATTTTTTAAGAAGTTGGTGCTCTGATTTCTAAACTCCCGAAGTTTAGTAAATGCACATTCCACTTGCTTTTCTGAAAGTGTGGCTTTGTTTCTTTCAATAAAATCAAATATTTGTGTTTCATCTGTGCAGTTATTCATCTGCCTAACTAAAAGTTCACAACTGGAGGGCTGGAATGGAAATCTTCTCCTTAAGAATGGATAAACAGCTTTTAGACGATGCATATTTGTGAGCAGGATGTTTAGAAAAGGTTATCTTTTCATCAAATTTTCTTAAAGAAAGCCACTTGCACTAGTAGTCAGGTGTAATATACTGGTATAAAAATAATTGCTTTTCCTTCAAGTATTTTGCTTCCACTGTGATGACTCCAAATCGCAGTCCAGCATGAAGCTTCTGTAAAACAATTGACAAAACATGGTTATGCTTGATAAAACATGTTTGACATGATGTAGCATTAACACAAAAAAATTAATCCTAAAATTAAAATTAGAATAACAAGTTTCCTCACATTAACTTGAGACTTTGTTTTCAGTCTGAACCAATTGGCACAGCTGGATACAAAAACAAATTCACAGAGACAAGGGATGTTTGGAGAACATTCCCGCCTTCTTAAAAGATGATATACATAGAAGGTGTGTTGCCGGTGGTGAAAAACAGATGGGGTCGAGAGGACAACTTATGTAAAGTGTGGAGGAGCTGGGAGGTGTTCAGTGTCTGCACTCTGAAGTAACGTTAATTGATACTACAGACCAACAAGGAAGAATTAACTGTCTTGCACTGTATAGTGATATTCCCCCTCCCCCCCGCCAAAAAAAAGAAAAATTAAAAAAGTGATATCCCATATCCTGAACTCAAGTTTCAAAGAAACCTTGAATGTCATCAAAACAACCAACTCACTGCTATGGATTTGAGTTCTACTCATAGCAACCTTCCATTGGTTTCTGACTCTTTTTTTTATTATTTATTTATTAATTTTAATGAAGGTTTCTGAGCTCTTTACGAGAGGGATTTACACATCATTTCTTTGCGGAGTGACTGAAAGATTCAAATCGCCTATGTCATGGTTAGCAGCCATCAGGGCTAAACCATCAGGGCTCCTTATAGTGGAGACAGCTCAAATTTAGAAAAAACAAATGTCCTCAGCTTTGCCTCCTGCTGAATGACCTAGGTAGGGTACATAATAACTAAATCAACAAGCAAGGGTGTTGGAACTATAAATGAGAGGACAGGATATGATGTATGAACAAGAATAAAACACACAACCATTTTCATGCAGTTGATCCCCACTCTTCGTGAGCCTCAAGGCCAGAGTTTCTGCTGGGTACCATCAAATCAGAACTGATAGCTGAACAGTGCAAGAATGAATGAATGAATGAATGAAAACCCAAAATCTCTGTAAATGTTCACTAAAACTAATAAAATTAAAAAAAAAAAAAAAGAACTGATAGCTGACCCTCCAGTGGGTTTTCAGAGGGAGTAAATCGCATGGAAGGAGACTGCCCATCCTTCTCCCGTTCAGCGGCTGGTGAATTCTAACCTCTTGCCTTCTAGATTGCAGCGCAGCTTCTTGCCACTAGGCGACCAGAGCTCTCTAAGGACAGGGTAGAATGATCCTATAGGTTTTCTTTGGCTAGTAGTGAATCTCATCACTGCACCACCAGCGCTCCAGGTGAACAAATACAACGCACGGTAAACAGAGATGCTCTGTGTAAAGAAGCATTTTTCAAACCTCAAGACAGTGTAGTCCGATGAATGGCTGACTAAAAGGACTGCAAGGCTCCCGGGTCTCCCACAAGGTGAGAACGCAGTCTTGCCCTCTTCCGCGCCGCGATTCTCTGCAGTGAACTCACCTCCAGGAAGGAGGCTTGGGTTTTTTAGCAGATCCACATCTTGGCCTAAAAATATGTTAAGTGTATAATTAAGTCAAAAAAGGCTGCAGCTACCCTGGGTCTGACCTGCCAGCAAGAAGTTCATTTCCCCCAACGCCGGTAACTTTTCTGGAGAATCCTAGGCAGAGTTGGTTATGAAGGCCCAAAAGGCAAAGATACTCTCACAGTCCAACAAGCGACGCGACTGTCGTCACTCTTTCTTTCCCTCCGATCCAAGAGTTTCAGCCTGTCCTCTGGAGACATCACCTTTTTTCTCGTTGCTTCTGTCCTCAATCAGGGAAAACGTGCCAAGCAAGGGCAGCGTGCACGGCGTAAAGCGCGCACTATATACCCCAGAGGGCGTGGCGACGAGGTCAGAGAGCGAGACGCCGCTTACGTGCCTGGCGAATGAATTCTGGGAGTTGTAGTTCCTCGTTAACAAAGAGTTAGGAGCACCACTTCTTCCACTTGAAGAAGCTGTTGATCAGTGTTTCTCAGATATCTTATATTTCTCCCAGTTTGTCATGGGATGGTGTTTTTGCAAGTGTTGTTGTTGTTGTTGTTGTTGTTGTGTCCCGTCGAGTTGGAACCAAGACATAAACTGAACCGCCAGCTCGTTTTCAGACGCTGTAAATAACACTGGAAATTACCAATCTGTTCTGCAGGGCAGCTGGTGGATTCAAACAGCCTGTATTTGACTTGGCAAAAGAACTCCTTACACACGTTGTTGTTGTGTTGTTCTTGTTGTTAGGTACCTTCAGTCAAGGACGACTCAAAGCGACTTTATGAACAACAGATGAACCCTGTCCTATCCTGCACCATCCTTACCATCTCCGACAGATTTGAGCCTACTGCCCGTCACAGTATCAATCCACCTCCTTGAGCACCATCCTCTTGCTGACCTTCCACTTTCCAAGAATGATGTTCCTTCCAAAGAATAGCCTCTCCTAACAACATGCCCAAAGTATATGAGATAAAGCTTCTCCATCTTTGCCTCTTAGGAGCACTCTACTTGCACCTTGTTCAAGACTGTTCTTTTGGCAGTGCATTGGGATTCAATACCCTTGTCCAACACCACTGTCAAAAGTATCAATGTCTCTTCTATCATCCTTACTCACTGCCCAGCTCTCAAATGCCATAACAGGTGATGGAAAAGACCATGGCTTGGATCAGGTACACTTTAGTCTTTAAACTGACATTACTGTTCTTTAGGACGTTGGAGATATTCCTAACAGCCAACTTTCCCAATGGTAAGTCCCCTAACTTAAACTATTGAAATTTCAAACTTTTCTCCATCTAATATTGACGTTGTCTATCGGCCCAATGGTGAGGATTTTAATTTACTTAATGTTGAGATATAATCCATGTTGAAGATTGTAGTCTTTGATCTGTAGCTAGCACCTCAGGTCCTTTTTGTTTTCAGCAATCAAGAGTTGTGTTATCTCCATAATTCAGGTTGTTGATAAGTCTTCTTCCAATCCCGACGCCACTTCCTTCTTTATAAAGTCCAGCTTCTCCACTGACTGACTCAGCATACAGATTGAATAATTACCGAGAAAGGATCAAGGCTTTGATGCGCACTTTCTTCTTAGATTTATTCTACCTTAATTTACAGATCAGTTCAAGAATAGGCTTGAGGCATTGAACACTAATGATCAAATATCAGATAAATTGTGGGATGGCATCAAGAACATCATCAATGAAGAAAGAAAAAGGTCATTACAAAGACAAGGGAAAAGAGAAGAAAAAAATGGATGTGAGAAGAGCCTCTAAAAATTATACTAGAAGCCAAAACAAAGGGAACAAATGCCTTATCCACAAAGCTACAAGAAAAAATGAATTATTACAAAAATTAAATGTAAAAATATATGCATGTATTTTAAAACTATATTTAATAGTGTAATATTACTCTGACAAGTACTTATAAAATATATAAACAAAACTCTTAATTTCTGCACTTATATTTATGGTACACAAGCACAAACAGACTACACCTATTTATAACAACTTTATTGAAATACAAATCATACATGTCTGTTGTCGAGAGGGTGAAACCAGATTGCTCCTTGGCAAGAAGTTTGAAACTCTATCTCACATACTATGAGCATGTTGCCAGGAGGCACCAGTTCTTAGAAAAGGATATAATGCTTTTGATGTCCTTCTGCTTCCATCATGTTTCTGATGCTTAAGATGGATAAGGACCCCGGGGTAGATGGTCAGTGCAAGAGAGGAAGACTCTGCATGAAATGAATGGACAGAAACTGTGGAAATGGGAGCAGGTGTGTCAGAGGCAATGAGGTTGTCTCAGGATAGGGCAAGACTCAGAGCTATTATTCATAAAGTCACTATGAGTTATTGTAGTCAACACCAAGACACATAGCAACAATAACAGTATGGGAAGCATAAGAGCTCTACTGACCTCACAAAAGGGAATGATTCCTGTTAAGAATATCAAGAGAATATTCATAATATTGGAGTTTATTAAGGAAATAACAGGTTAAATTCAAGTTGGAAACACTCAGGATTCAATTTTTCAATCATGACAGCCTATTCTAAGATATGCTTGCAGGCAGGCCTCTCTCTCACCTTTGGACTCAAAGAATTGGGCCCTGTGTTTTGATCAGGCAAGAGATATAAAGCTTTTTTATTATTGTTGTTGCCATCAAGTCAACTATGACTCAAAGCAAACCTATCAATAACCGATCAAAACTCTACCCTGTCCTATGTTATCCTCACAATCCCCACCGTGTTCAAACCCACTGTTGCAGTAACTGTGTCAGTCTATCTCATTGAGAGACCTTTTACCGTGTTTACAATATTAGCAAACATTAAAATCTAACCTATTTTATTTCTCTGTTGAAAGTTACTTTTTTTACTTATTTGTGAAACTGTAAGGAGACTAAAGGAAATGAGCTGCTTTTAGTTTGGGGTGGAAGCAAGACTGCATGGTTGTCTACTGATGATTGTTATTATCTGATCATCAGATAAACAAAGCACTATGAAGGGAAACAAAGTAGGAAGGCTTACATTTTCTGATCTATCTCAAAATCTACTACACTAACATGGTAATCAAAACATGAGAGTACTGGAACAATGACAGACATTCAGGAAAATGAAACAGAATTGAAAACCCAGAAAGAAACCTACTCATCTATTAACAGCTTATCTTTAACAAAAAGATAAAATCTAGTAAGTAGGGAAAAGACAGCCTCTTTCACAAATTGTTCTGACAAAACTGTATACCCACACCAAAGCCATTGCCACTAAGTCAACTCCTACGCAGAGGGCCCATGGAGGACAGACTGGAACCCTCCCATAGGGTTTGCAAGGCTGTGAACTTTGACAGAAACAAAGTTCCTAATTTTTCTCCCACAGAAGGGATTGTAGATTCAAAC